AGCTCGGACTTTGCCTTTAACCCTCAACGAATGGAGCCGGGAATTCATGGATCGCATAAAGTTCGAGAGATACGTGGAAACTGCTGAAGCTGTGCACCTCTCTGAATGCACGTAACACCACATGTTGGCTCCTACCATCTAGATTAGCTTATACATGCATTGACCAACCACTTTCTGATGTGCGCCATGTATTCTACCTCCATTCAGCATCGCTGTGAAGTTTGAATGCGTGTTTGGACTGTACACTAACTTGTAGGGATCAATCGATGAAAATTTTTCATTGTGTCAGGTTGTCAATTCGAATACCATTAAGCTGGCGGTCTAGCACATGGAAGGGTTGGCTGATCTGACTGTGAGCAAATTCTCATTATACCCGTCGTAACGGCAGCATTTATCACTACCTACATACGCCCATTTGACGCACTTGCCGGGTAGATGTTGTACCGCTTAAAAGTGCGCAGCAAGGGCGCTACGACCTTCTACTCAAGCTATTCTACTCTCTGCTCAGCCGGTCCTGTTGCGCGATGCTGCAGTCTAGGCGGCGGAGTGGCTAGGATACGCTCTCCTCCTGGATCTCTTGTCCCAGATCTGTGCTCTGTTCGCGACAATGCGCGTTGAGCAAACTAGCCCGCTGTAGGAAATCGAGGCGCCTTCATTCATAGCATGTGCTTGGCAACAATACAGGTGTTCCTCTTGCTTCAAAGCATTTCATAACACTATCACAGAGCCGTTTCAGTGTGGCCTCCGAAAAATTTGGAGCAAAAGTCTGTTTCAAATTGAACGAGTTCTCCGCATCTCCTTACTATCCTATTCCTATCCAGAGAGCTGTGCACACCTTGTAACCCTTGGTGAGGTTGCTCCGCCCAAAAATGGAAGTGGACATGTGAAGGTCAGTGAAGAAATAACAAAAAGAACCAAGGAAACAGTTAGATGCAGGGTGTTTCTCCCTGTCAATTACCCTAATTTCCGGTAGATAAGCCCGCGCCGATTTCACGTAAAACCACCTCCGCTCGTGCAGTGTAACTTTGTACACCTTAGAAACCACCGCAAATTTGCCTATAGAGGTAAGTCGATGCCCTGATTACGAAAATGACTTTCATTTTCAGCGGTGGCGCCATCTGGCGCCAGTTGGCGCCACCTTGTCACGACACCTGTTTTCACCAAATTTCGGTGTAAACTTCCGTATAGGGGTTATTTGGTGTCCTGAATATGACATTCATTCTCGGCGCTGGCGCTATTTGGCGCCTATTTTCTGCTCGTCTGCGCTCTCCAACCGAGAATATGCACTGAACAACGTTAACGCCAAAAACGAATGTCATATTCGTAATCAGGGCCCCAAATAACCCCTATACAGAAGTTTACACCGATTTTGGTGAAAACAAGGGTCGTGACAAGGTGACGCCAACTGGCGCCAGATGGCGCCACCGCTAAAAATGAATGTCGTTTTCGTAATCAGCATATCGAATTACCCCTATGGGCATGTTACGGTTGTCTCTAGATGTACGCAAGTGCACTGCACCAGCGGAGGTGTTTTTACGTGATATTGGCGCGGGCTTATCGAAAATACGGAAATTAGGGTAGTGTAGCGGACTATGTTAAAGCGACGAGACACTTAGCGTTTAGAAGAGAGTATAGGCGAGAAAGTGTCTCACACAAGAGAGCGTACACACTTTATGATGGTATATGGTAAACTCGCAACAACACTTCAAGGTTAAAGGCTAACCCTGGGATTAGCCCGACTTGTGGGAAGGATACCGCGAAAATTGTAAGGTCCCTACCTAGATCACTCCAGCTTCGCCGCAAAAGTTGCGCGGTTAGGGCGCTAATCCTTACGGGCCTGCAACCATCGACCCCCGTTGCAACGCTTCCCACCCACCTCGATATCGGCGTGCTCTCTCGAACGCGTGATCTCTCGCGTGTTTTGTCTA